TAAAATACGAAGCACCAATGTTTCAGGAGTTTAGAACACAGAATATGATGCATGCTTATTCGATAACTGTTTAATTTCCTATTTGGGTGTATGCATATGCTTTAAGATTAACTGATTTTTTCCCCAAGGCATTGTTAGATGCCAGTGTTTCCTGTCATAGCTGTGAAAAGATTTGATTTTAAAAACAGTATCATAGCTATCAAACTATTTCGTTATGATTTTAAACCTGTATATTTAACCAGAACGATCAGACTTGTTATGATTTTAAACCTGTATTTAACCAGAACGATCAGAATTTAACCAGAATCAGATTGATCTCAAAGTAAAAAAGGTGCTTAAGTCTGATTTTGTAGTGGCTGTGCTTTAAAATTAAATGATTATAAGCTTAATTCAAGTGATGCAGGCTTTTGAAAGTCTGCCAATAACCAGTGTTCAGTTCTACTGTAAGGTTAACACTGCCTGCTTCAAATGTTTCAAAATGATTAACAGTAGAAAATATTTTAAATTTAGAAAAGTAATCAAATGAAATCAGTTACATTACTTTAATAAAGCATTTGAAATAGTTACACTACTTATTACATTTTAAATAGGGTAACCTGTAAACTGTAACCTATTACATTTACAAAGTAACCTTCCCAGCACTGCCTAACAGTAACCGTCAGAAAATTGTGAAAATTGTCAATGGTGAAAAAATTGTCAAAGATGCGACCCCCCCTCTCCCAATTTTTCATGCCACAGCAAAAATCAAGCATTGTATAATACCCCCATGAACTCCTGATGGCCATATATTGGTTACACTGTAGTTAAGCAGTTATAAAACATAAAATATTTATGTTTTTTTTTCTTCAAAATTATGCATATTTTTGTATATATTTACACAAAATGTAAACATGATGTAAAATTCACATTAAAGAAGATCTGCATATTTATTTATATATTTATTCATTAAGCAGAAGATTACTGCTACCTGGTTGAAAACAAACACTTATAAAATGAACATGACATGACATTACCACTATGACCAGTAGATGGCTGCAGAGGATCACTGATTCATGTATTCACTTGCCGTTTCCACTCCCTTATGTATAGTTAATCAAAGGGTGAGCGATTTATGTAGTTACTTGATAATAATATTTTGAGCTCATTTAAAATTCTAAACAACAACAACAAAAAACCTTCTTTGTTTATATTTAGATGTTGCTGTTTAGAATTTTAAATGAGCTCAAAATATTATTTTTTGTTTCTGTGTGTGAGTGATCCGTTATGTGTCTGTACATGTGTGCGTGCAGTACAATCCTTGTAGGCAGAACTAGTTTAGAACGGCTATAGTTATGGCATTAATTGTGCTAGTGATTGAGCGGTAGTGGAGCACTCTGAGAGCGAGCGAAAACCAGAATTCTCCGACTTTCAAAAGATCCCCGCTTCAGTTAAAATCACGCTGCTCCGCTCTCAATGCACTTCGATCCCATACGCTGCTTTGGGGTGGCAACTGGGGTGGCAAAGCTCATTTTTAGGGTGGCAGTTGCCACCCCGTGCCACCCTTGTGGACACGCCACTGATACGGTATACCCCAGCGACTTAAGACTGGTTTTGTGGTCCAGGGTCACATATGGTACTGTCACGGTGCTACTGTGTTGGAGCGCGGAGCGAGGAGACCAGGAGTACATCAACACAGGAGATTTTAATTATAACCATGGAACCAGGAAAACACACGTAGCAGATGAGGTAGACATAAACAGACATTCACAATACCGGATGCCGAAATGATCACATGGAACACTTTATATACAAATGACATGACGATGGGATGACGAGACACACCTGGAATCAAATTGGAAACAATCAGGGAGCAGGAACAGGAAAACCAAATAAGGGCATGCAAAGACAAGAGGGAAAACAAGGAACACATGGGGAAGAAAACAACAAAACGGGAACACAAGTCTGACAGACACATTATATGATCAATAAATGAAATCTTAAATATAAATTTGTATTTGATTTATACAAATGTCTTATATTTATTAAATTAAATGTAGTTCCAAGGACCACAGTGGAGAAAAAAAAATTATGTAAATCTTTATTTTCACAATGTTTTAAAAAAAAAAAAAGTGGTACTGTATGGCAAATTTGCATTTTTTTTCTTTGTCTTACAACTGATTATATTAATCGCCCTCTCTGGTGACCTGTTTGATCACTGGAATCATTTCAGTGGGTTCAGTCCTTCATCACTGGACGTTCAGTGGTCACTAAAACTGTGATCCCATAAATCATGAACATTTTCTTGCCGTCTGTTACCTAACGCCTTATAAATGACACTGTCTGCAGAAGGCCGCAGAATGGATTACAGCTGGATGAAGTGCTACACAAGGGCTTAATCCATAAATAAAATGCCACTGGATGAAGGAAAGGAGAGGAGGGACAGTGGGTCGCAGTGTTTGATAAATGTACTTCCACCTCACAGTCCAAAAACCAGGAGAGAAAACTGTTACATAATATTATTTTGGTTATTAAGATTGATCAGTCTGCCCACGAATTATATGGGTTAAACATCAACAGGTGTGTGGTACATTTAGTGTGTCACATTTGAATTTATACTAGCAGATTTCTATCTTTGCAATGCACTGTAAATTCAACAAAAGAACAACAGGAACCTCTCGGGGTTTACCTTCTCATCCAGTGCTTTGTGGTGCTCAAAGAGGGACTTAAGAGCTTTGAGGACCTCCACCTCACTGGAGACCCCAGAAGGAGACTGGGCCTGTCGTTTTACCACTGTCATGCGTAGGGAACGTTCATGCCTCGAAACCAAACACTCCAAATGCTCCAACAGCAGCTGTGGAACATGTAAGGAGTTAATCTCATGATGTTCATCATCACAATCCTCCATTACTATTATAAACATTAGCATTAAACCAAATGTAAAACTGAAACTAAAACTAATATTAATACTAATTTTAAAGTTGAAATTAACAAATGAAGATGGAAATTAAATCTAAAAACCCCAAAGTTAGTAAATAACCTAAAACTAAATCTAAAGCTAAAACTACAGCTAAATATAAAACAAATACTAATTCTAAAACTAAAGCTGAAATATAAAACTAAATTTAAAGCTCAAACTGAATTTAAATCTAAAAGATAAATCCATGCAAAATTCAAATTTTAGTAATTAATCTAATACTGAACCTAAATCTAAAGCCAAAATTACAACTAAATCTAAAACCAATTCTAAACCTAAAGCTAAATCAAAAACTAAATCTAAAATGTAATAAAAAAAATCTAAAACTAAATTAAATAAAAGCTTAATCTAAATCTGAAGATCTAATAATTTAATTAATTAATTTAATTTAATTTAATATTAATCTAAAATTAATTAAAACTAATTTATTACTAATCAAAAAACTACAGCTATATATAAATCTAATGCTAATTCCAAAACTACAATTAGAAGCTGAAACTAAAACTTAAATGAAATCAAAATTTAGTAGTTAATCTAAAACTGAACTCAAATGTCTAATGCTGCAACATGAGGTCCGTTTTTTTCGTTATGTCACTAAACCCTAAAGGACATTCTTCACATGAAAATTAATGGCATGTGCTTAACACACCATTTAGTCTTTTCTCATTTTACAAGGGAACCCTTTCAGATGGATAACAACATTACACACAAGAAAACCCATTACATTACTAAAACAATAAAGCAGACACAACAAATTGAAACCCCCTGGACCCGGCACAAAGGAGATTATGTTAATGTGGTTACTCTCTGCTCTGGTACATGGCATAAAAAAATCAATTCGGCCCCAAAGTCCCAATGACACTGTGGAGAGAGAGAGAGATAACCGTCTGGCTGGATGAGTGGACATAGATTACTATGGATGGCGAAACCAAAGAAAAAGTGTTTATGTTGTTTTGAAATACTTGTTCTATGTGATCTAAAGCCGGATGCAGGATATTCCTACTCAATATCTCCTACTTCCAACCATGAAGGTGCTCCACTGATTGATGCTCAGAAGGTTTAAACAAGGTAAACAAGGTATAAAGAAACGAAACACTACTGTTCACTTTGCAGGTGTTCGATGGCCAACTGAGAAGCCTCTTAGCATACTGCAACCTAATTGTGGGCATAAAGAATGCTATTCAATACTAGCATTTGTTTTGCAAGTGTATGATTAACATAAGAGAGAATTATTACAAATTTGTTCTAAACAAGCTTCATTATCATATAATTAGGAACTTTGACTCATTGTTGCATTTTATTTGTTTAAAAGGGACTGTACATCCCTCGGCCGCCAAGATCATGTGACTAAATATAAAACTAATAATAAATTAAAAGTAAAAACGAGCTAAATCTAAAGAACATCTTATAAGATAATGTTAAAACAATCTAAATGAAATAAAAAGAATTAATACTTAATCAAAAACTACAATTATACATAAAACTTATAAATAAAAATAACTAATACTAAACCCTAATAAACTTTAAACTAAAGCTTATGCTTAAGCTAATACTTCTGAAGCTAATAACCTAAAAAGCTAGCTATAGCTTAAACTAAAGTTAAAAGCTAAAACTAAAAGCATAATTTTAAAATAATGATAAAACTAAAATATGTACAACTAAAGCTACATCTAAAACTAAAGCTTAATGTCAAATTAAACCTTAAGCACAAGCTAATACTGATACTAATCTAAAAACAATCTCAAAGCTAAAGCTAAAACTAAAGCTAGAATAAATGCAGAACAAAAACGATAGCTAAAAGAATGTTAGGCTATGTTTAGTCTAATTCTTAGCATGCTAGTGAAATCGTAGTTTATTTCTGATTTTCTAAGTAGGGACTTTAACTTCAATTGGAGTCGCCAAAAAGGTAGTTGGAAATTCAGACTTCTCTAGTTGAATGTAAGGCAGCATTAGGGCTGCAGCAGCACATGTACAGTACCTGCCTGAGGGCTGTACAGGCAGTGCTGTTGCAGTGCTGCTCTAGAGACCTATGCAGAAGCTGAACTTTCTATTTCTGCTCAGTTCCTTGCTCTCTCATTCATAACCCTCGGTCTGTGCCAGCCTCTGTCTTTCCCAGCGCCAGCTCAGCACTAAAACAACCCTATAGCCGGATAATGCAGGTTAGGTTACTCTCTCTCCCTCTGTGTATGTCTGTTTTGGTGGATCAGATTCAAACTGGTGCCGTCAGTAGACACAGCCATTAGCTAATACATGAATCTCAGAATTGATCTTAAATCAATATATGTACAGTAACAATATGAGGCATTTTACTTGAAGGGCCATCCTGCGCAAAAGTCCATCCTGTACATTTTCATCAACATGCTTCATTTTTTTTGTTAATACTGCGTTTTCATGACCTCATGACCTCACCTTATACTTTAAGTGTTATTTTATTTCTATGGACTTAGATTGTACTTGTTTCTGACTGTTTGATATCATTTGATACTGCATGGCCATAAGTGCACCAAATACCTTTTTTTCCACAAAAGTTTTACTAATAAAGAAAAGAAAAGTACTTTTAAAAATGTTTAAAATGTTGTACACTCATATGAGACAGACACCAATCATAAGTGTCCTAAAAAGTTTTTTTCTACATAAGTGTAGTTGACTCCTCAAGGTGGCCACCATGTTGAGATAACATTACCTCATACGTACTAATGCATAGAAATGATCACTAATAAGAGACATCTGAACAATCTTAACAATTTGCAAGATTGTGGTCCAGATGACACTTAAAATGAAAATCAATGGCCAAAAAGTCTCTGCTATGTTCACAATGTTGATCTAGGCCAGTGGTTCCCAAACTTTTTGCAGCGTGCACCCCTTTCTAGTGTTTGACACATGTCAAGTACCCCCACCACCGTACTCCGGTTAAACACCAAATTTTTTACTGCAATACAAGTATAAATACAAGTATTCACTGTATACAGGGCTTGAGGTGGCAGCAAGTTGACTGTCTTAATGAGTGAGTCATTGAGGCATTCAAACGATTCGTTCAGATGGCTGATTCATTCAAGAATGAAGCAAGTGCCTGTCTTTATGAATAGACCACTGAATCATTGACTCAAATTATTAATTCAAAAATGCGAATCATTCAGTAGCCTAACGAAACACCGCTGACGCTCAGAGATGCGCGACAGTTCTGCTGCTATGTTTGTTTGGAACTATTTTTGTTAAACAAATCGAGTAAAAACAGTCACATTGACATTATTGTACTAAAATGTATGCCCTAAGTCACTTAATATTAACTACTCGTTTGAAGTCTTATTTAAAATCAATGTCGAATTTACAATCGTACTGATTTTTGGGGAAAACTGCACTCTCTTAGTCATGTCATGTTAATTAATTAGGCTAGGCTTTATGTAATAAATATAAAAACTACATTTTTTACCGCAGTATGTTTCTTCTGTGTGCAGTTGTGTTCATTTGTTTCGATTTGAGATTGTCTCACGTGAGTCTCAACTGCCTGCCTGAGTCACTGTGCAAAAAATAACCTTGTTACTATTGATTAGTAACAAGGTTAACCTTGTTACTATTGATTATCCATTATGAATTGCCGTTTACACCAAGTGTAATAAAATTAGAATCATTCTCGCCGAAATTTTGGTGCTTCCCTAATTCGATGTTTTAATTAGATTAGTTGTCCGGTCGGGCAAGTAAAATTCTCTTTCACTTGCCCCTTCAAAAAATGCACACAGATCATCAAAAGCATTCTCTCGCGCACCCCTGCTGGTTGGTCTGTGCACCCCAGTTTGGGAACCGCTGATCTAGGCTATACTGGCTGCAAAATAATAGGGAGTATACAGTGAAGATTAGACAAACAGATTTCACTGGCATTGGCAACAAAAATGTCTTCGTTAATACTTTATTAACCCAAGGCCTATAGTAAATGGCCAATGTCCCAATTAGCATAACATTTATGGTAAATATTATGTAACAAGAATTAGTGTGTCCCAAATAAATAGTTTGGAAAGAGTGCTCGTATGGTATACTACATCTTGTGGATTTTTGAAGTGTACATCTGTGCAAGCTTTTTAAGGGAATATCGCCTAAACCCATTGTTATTATGTCTCATTTATATTGACACCTATTACTCACACACTGTCTTACTGAAAAGTATGTACTTTCTACATTATCAGGGTCTAATTCACTTTTAGGGAATGTTGCTGCTACACAAACTGTGACAAAGTTTCTAAAATGATTAAGATATGACCTTTTCCATAATGACTGATGCATTGCAGAGTTGACAACAGTCTCTCTAGACCGGCTTCGGGTTAAATACTTCACTCACAGTCACATTAGCTGCTCCCTGTGTAAGATTAGAAACTCTGCTTGAAATGCTGCTCCCAGAGTCTGTTGCTAATCTCACCTGAACTCTCGTCTTTTCCATTCCACTACGTCTCCTTATCCTCCTCGATCTATGCTTCCCTCTGGTTTTTAATCCCCTCCAATATCCTCAATTCCATAATTGACTCTTCAAACGTGAGGCTGCGGCTAAGTAACGTAAGTAATTAATTGAATTGCAGCGTGGAGGTTGGCACGCCAGACTGCATTAGCACAGTGACTCAGGCAGGCACTGAGGGGTGCAGGAAAAGAATCGAGGTGAAAATGAAGCAGAAGAAGCGAGAATGACTGCTTTCTTGTGAAATGGAAGTGATATCCAAAGTGCTGTGTCTTGTCAGATGTTTTGGCAGCTTCTCTGCTTTCAATGCAAATGCTTGGTGACAATTTTATTGAAAAACACCAACCTGATATCTTGACTTACAGGGAATTATGATCTCACCGCTACAAGGATAAAGTTATCACTCAACTATCATCTCATCACAATAAAGTCCCCATAAAAGGTGGTGCAGGGCATATCGAAGTAAGAATGTTGTGACTCTAAAGTAAGCATCTCAACAGACTCTACAGAATCTGGTTTCAGTTCATTGAAAGCAGTTTGGAGCAAGCAAAACCACCCTCACTCCAACAAAACATCATGAATTAGATGCACGAGTCGCTAAGTGGGCATCTGTTAAATTATTGGCTTTTTTGTAAGCAAGTACAACTTTCCAAGATGGCTGATAGTTGAGGAGCACAATCTGTTCTTTGAAGTGCCTGGAAGACATAGTGTGTGAACTCACTCTGGTGTTGTTCCTCTCGGCCTTCAGCTCTGAAATCTCCTCCTCCTTCTCCAGCAGCTGTTCTCTGCAGGCGTTCAACTCTTTCGTCAGGGCGGCAAACTCCTGCAAGACAACAAACAGACATTTTAACATCACATGCACTGACTGAAGGGACACAGGTTTGCTAAAGGACAATACATCCTAATCAAACACACCAGATCCATCTAATTATGGTCTTCAGGATTACTGGAAACTTCCAGGCAAGTGTGAGATTGGAGTAGGTTGGAGCTAAACTCTGCATGACATTGACCCTCCCAGAGCAGGAGCAAGATTAGACTCCCCTGCCCTGCCAAAAGGAGTTGAGGAGTCATATAAAATAATATGGTGTAAAATTGTGACATGGGTGGCTTGTTAAGGCTGGGACACTCCAAGCCAACGGTCGGCCATTGGTGAGCATCTGTCAGGCTAGTTTTTTTTTTTTTGGCGTGTTCCACACGTCGGGCTCACGTTGACGGCAGTTTGCCCCATTCAACATGCTGAATCGGCGTCGGGGCTGTCAGTGAAACTGAGGACTGTGATTGGATGCTCAGTTTAGTGAATGAGTCAGTTCCAGAGAATTAAAGTGAAAGTGATGAACACGAGCAAGTAAATGAAGGCGGCACAGACAGAAGACTGTTCTAATATTACATGATCTTACTCAAGCATTCCAATAAGCGAATATTTTCATAACAACATGAGCCACTTCAAATGAAGAAAGTTGTCATCATAACTGAAACTGATATTCAAAATGGTAAGCAAGCGCTGCTTTGTTTCATATATCTGCGTATATCCTTGTTTCAGTTTCTCATTTTGAATGACGAATATATACAATTGACAGCAGCTGATTTAGACAGTTAATTCCTCTCACACAGGCTCAGAATGCATGTGTTAGTTTGCAGTTGGCTGTAGTCTGAGTGGTGTGTTCAAGAGCAGCTTTTTGGTCCTGATGCCATCCAACGCGAGGCGACAACAACCGTTGGCTTTTATCGCCGCTAGTTCTTTAAAGTTGGCTTGGTGTATAAATGCCTATAAATGTAAGTGCTATAGTTACCAAGAAAGTTAATGCTCATGGTTAAACTTTTTTACCAGGGCTAGCCAACCCTGCTCCTGAAGGTCTACCATCCTGCAGAGTTTAGCTCCAACCCTAATCAAACACACCTGAACTAGCTAATCAAAGCACTCAGGATTACTTGAAAATAGCAGGCAGCTGTCTTGGAGCAGGGTTTGAACTGAAGTTTGGAGAGCGGTATTCCTGCAGGAGCAAGGCTGGCTACTGCTGCTTTAGACTCTGTGTTGTTCTCAGGGTTGATGTCACAGGTAAAAGTACTACAGACAAGAAGTAATGCAATTCAGTACACACTACAAAAGGTTGGAATTAGGGAACAGCTATTAACTTTTGTGGCCCAGAAATTTCCAGCAAATGCCACGACTGGAGAGAAATGATAACAATGTGGAACTTTCCACATCTGGGAAAGCAAAATCCCACATGAGTGAAAGGTACAGATTCAATGTACTCTGCCATTAAGAGGATTTCAGGAATGGTAGGAATGGGGCCAGGAATTGACTAGGGCTTGTATATGGAGTATGACGTAAGTGGTGATGCAGTTGTTTTTACATGGTACATTTAGGTGCCCCAATAAGCAAATGTGAAGAACAATACAGACTGAAGTCACCCTGCAACCCTATAACCTCAACTACAACTTTGGTAACAGTTTGAGAATAAGTACAATGAAACATCCCAGGGACATGCAAAAGTAAAAAAAAAAAAAGAAAGAATGAATCATTCCAGAGCACACCTGAGTCAAAATTATACCTTTATCACCAGGATTGTTTAAGTTTGAAAAAACTATGACATTCAGTGACAAATTTTTTTACAGTAACACAACAGTAGCCTTGACCTTCCTTCTCTCAACTATGAGTGGGATAAAATGTGCTCACTTCTTGAATATAATGAGCATCACAATGCATATGATGGATGGGGGTGTAGCCAGAATATAAAGGAAACTTTTAGACTATTATGTCTAGATAAATCTGTCTGGCAGTTGACTGAAGGTGAGGATCAGTGGTCTTATTTAAATTGGCAAGAGTTGAAATCTCTACAGAGGACATCTCGATTGATAAACATGAACTTGGTAGATGATGACAAGCCTGTCTCACTGCCACCACACATGAGGGATTGGGATCATGCAAAAGGTAGATGTCTAGGACAATAACTCACTGGGGTATTGATCTAAGCTTGTCCTCTGCAGCAAGACTCCTCTGATTATAGAGGGATAATTGAACAGGACTCGATCCAGCTGGCCATCAAAGACCCCAGCAGAAGTCTTGTGATAGTTGGCAAGTTGTTTCATTGAGTGTAAACTCATGGTATGAGATAGCCATCCTATATGCACCTTAACGCAACCACTTGCTGTGATGGTAGTAATTACTGATGTTACATGGTGTTACAGTAAGACAGACAAGAACATATATGTGTGTGAGCAAAAAAGGACCCAGGCTTTATGTAGCTTTTCAAAGGGGATTTGCTTGAGCCCATCTTCAAAGTACAAACATGCTGGGACCTCACAGATTTCATCTTGGGAAGCTTTAAGATTCATCGCTGTGAACATATGCACCAGCGCACACATACAGACAAACACGGTCTAACAGCAAACCAGCTCTACACAGGCTGGAATTACAATCAGTTATGATCAAAACTCCCCTCTAGCAGCTCAGCCTCTGAAACAAACCTCCCTTAAGCAGTGTTCGAATTGAGGGGGGTCCCGGAGCTCCCATAAGCATTAAGGGACCCCCCATAAAGCCCCCAAAAAATTACTTGGGGGGTCTCCTTGTTTTTCAATAAAACTATAGTAGCCTACTTGAAGCATGAAACTAGTGAAAATGGAAATTAAATGAAAAGTGACAATTGCTGTATTAAATTAGACCTGCTCATGTTACATCATATTTCTTTTTACGCGTTTTACAGCGTTGTGCATTCTAACTAATCACACACGATTCTGTTGAGTTTATGAATGCAATGGCCAATCAGAAGCGTTCAGATGAGTCATCGCTGAAACGCCGGAGTTTTGTTCAGTGAGCACGCTCACTGAATGAATTCTGACTGAAACTCACGAATTCTCTCATCATAAGCAACAAAGTGCAGATGTACGTACGATGTAAGTAAGAGATTCATTTATCATAAAGTGTATGGACAGCTTCATTGATTATAAAAGGAGTTTTGAGTGCTTTGAGTCTGGCTAGACTGAAGTCAGTGATCTTTAATGTAAATGTTTGCTCGCTTTCTCCATAATTTACTCGCTGTTTGAATAACTGAAAATTATTAAACTGAAAATTTTAAATTAACTGAAAATTACTAAAGTGTTATAATTAGTAACTTAGAATGTTTTTATTAAATTGTGATAACTTTAAATACAAATTCAGTCATATTAAAATATGACACCGTATATGGTACTTTTCTAAACAGATGGGTTTATGATGCGTGTAGTTAATAGATTACACTAACATTAGGCTACTTTAGCCTTACGCTGTAGTTGGTTCATAAGATATAATAACATATTTAATTCTTCTTTGCTTAATGATTGTTTGGTACACCTAATTAACTGATATTGAAAAAGCTTTTATCTTGGAACCGACGAACAGTCATTAGGTTATTAGGTTTTCTCAACGATAAGAAATAAATTTATTTATTTTTGAAGGAGGCGTGGTGGTGGGGGGGGGGACCCCCCAAGAGCTTTGATACAATTCGAACACTGCACTTAAGTGTTTTCTGAAGTCAAAGGTCAGCGTTCCAAGGCCAAACCAAATTCACTGCGGGGGGATCCTATGCTGCCCTTAGGCGGTAAATGTGGGGTGGGTAAAGCATTGGATCAACATCTGACAAACTCATTAGTGTGTGAAGTTCCCTCCAGTGTGGTGAGCACATACATTCTCATCTCTAACATAGAGCTAAGTTATAAGTGGTGCGAAGTTCTTAATCAAGGTCAATTCCGGGTCAAGATTTAAAAATAAGTTTACCTGGAATTAAGCATAGTGTGAAAAGCCTGGAAGAAATTTCTGGCCACAATTCCACCATCAACTGAAATGTTGTGCAGAGCCACAGGTAAGAAAAATCATAAATAAGGTCTAAACTGTTTCTTCTTAAACATCACAACTGTTTCTCCTAGATGCACACACAAAAAAGAGAAAATGTATTTGATTACTTAAGTGTCCTGTTTCTCAAGATACCAAAGTCTGCAATCCAAGTCAAAGAAAAGCCAAAGAAAATTTCAATATGAACTGTGCTATGATATGTTAATTAACTGTATTATTATTAGTTTCTATTATTAATTCTCCAAAGGAATTTTAGGAGAAGCATCCGAGACAAAGTTGAAACTTAAACGATACATAATTGAGAACTCAATTAAGTTACCTTATGAGCAACCTCTGAGAAATAAATACAGAGCATTTTCTTTGGGAAGCAACAAATCACAGCCAATTAGAACATACTTGGGGCCAGATTTACTAAACAATGCGTAAATTAAAGAACACAGATGCAGTCCATAATGACCAACGCAGTCTACAAAGATCAGCACAAATTAGCAAATATCGCAGTGCAAAACGGGTTAAAATACACTTTATAGGGCATTTAATAATGATTTATTTGCAGTAGTGGAAAGAGTACTAAACAATTGTAAAGTATTGCTACTTAAAGAATAATTTACTTGAGTACAAGTAAAAGTACTGAAAAATAATGACTCCAGTAAAAGTAAATAAGTTGTAGGGATTTCTATCATATACGTACACTACTATTATGCCCCGATCAGCCATCATGAGGTTTGCTAATCGCCCCCAGCACATAAAGACTAATCCAATCAAGAGATAACACTGAGCTCTTTTGGTATCAGGACTACAACTGAAAATACCTCGTGATCGCGAATGTATAGAAACCAGTGTAGACACAGGAAGTAAATTAACTAGTGCCCTCAGGCCTGTGAGCACGGGACCGCTGCATGACTAGCACATGACGTTTGACCACCTGCTTCCTGATTAATTCCCTTATACAATTAAGTAATCAAAGTCATTACAAAGTAGTTTGCTGAAAAACC